GGAATCAAACCGGGATTGCCTGGTTTGCAGGTCTGAGCTCAATCCACTGAGCTACAACAGCCAGGAAGTAAATAAAATCTTAAAAACGAAAATTACACCTAGTGAAGTTTCTCATCACTGGGGTAGGAAATACCAACATAAAAACGTTTTATCTCCTGGTAAAGATATTATTTGCCAGGTTTCTACATTAAAAATAGCAAAAACTATTCTGACCAAAAAGGACTATCATACAGGGCTTACATCAACAGATTTTAAACTAATGTGTATTATTGGTATTGATAGTATTTCTGAAAGGGTAAACATATAGTTAAATGGGACAGAATAGATATTTCATAAAAAGACCCACACATATCAAATACATTCAACTGTTTGACAAAAGTACCAAGGATACTCAATGGTGAAAGATTAAACGTTCCAACAAATGATGCTGCACTACTTAGAGGTCCACAGGCGTGCATAAATAAATAAAACCCAAATAAATAAATAATCAACAGATTCATCAAATACATTTTTATCTCATAAAGCACTGGTCCCAGAACATAGAATTCTTACAACTCAGCAACTTATTCAATGAGCAAAGACCTTGAACAGACACTTTTAAAGATAAGCAGATGGGAAATAAGCATATGAAAAGATGGTCAACATCATTTGCTATCAGGAAAATACAATTTAGCACTGCAATGTGATCTAAATACTCAGCTATTAGAATGGCTGAAATCAAAAAGCAGAAAAGATGAAATGCTGGTGATAAGGTGGAGTATCAGGAACTCTTAATTTACCAGAGACAATGTAAAAAAACTACAACCATGTTGGAAGATATTTTGACTGTTTATACATATGATTTTAAGTTTTAGAAAAGTAGTCTAAAATTTTTTAATGAAATGTTCTCACTAGAGAGTAGAATTTAGAAAAAAATGGTTGTTTTTACTTGTATCTAACAAACCTGAAAAAAAATCCAAGAATAAACTGCCCTAGATGAACAAAAAAATCCCATCTTTACTTGCAGATACACCATTGATCATGGTAAACTATTCTGATCTATGAGGACATTAAGAGGAATGGAGGTAGGAAAGAAATTTTTTATAAGAGTTTATTGCAGCCACACTGATGACTCATGTCAAAGAGCAAGATCTCAAATTTTCTACGACACAAATTTTTAATGGGAACCTAGAGCAAGGACTTGGACTTGAAAGACAGAAAGTCCAAATAGCTAATGGCAATAGTCAAATAGCCAATCTCAACAACCAAAAGCTGAGCTTCAAAATACCCACTAACCTGGGGATATGGGTCTCAAAACTTAAGAGTCCTATGTTCACAAACCCAAACAAATTCTGCATTCTTCAAACAACAACTTCAAATTAATCTGAAATTTATACAGAAACTCTTGTCCATTGACACCTTTCCCTGATTTAAATAAAATTTGATTTAGGTTAAATCACTACTGTAGACAACAAGTGGAGTTCACTGGTACAAAGCTCCCACAGTTTTTCCATCACAAAGTTTAGGAGGGTTGACATAGAGACCTTAAGCTATGAACGTCAGATCTTTAGTCATTCATCTCTTCAGACTAAACCTGAACCAAAAGCCCCAAATAATGCCCAGACCCCTCAGTAACCGAACCTAAGTAAACCCCCCAAACATGGAAATGTACAAGCATTCCTGCTTCACCCACCCCACAGGCTCTTCACTTGGGATCCACACAGATTCAGGCTCACATGACCTTGAGCCTCTGAAGACTCCACTGGGAGCTGCCAAAGGCTGAACCCAAGTACTTCCTTAACTGTTGCTATGGACACCAAAGGGCAAAGAGAAGTGTGTGGCCAGAGCTCTGGGTCATTTCTAGAAGTTCCAGTTCTGGCCTTGCACAGCATCTAAAACCTCCTGGAGCATTTCCCAAGGTTTCTGAGGGGAGTGCTTATAATGGTTGCTAAGACCCTGCCGGGTGAGAAGAAATAGATATCTCTTACACACTCCCCAGTGCCTTCCTCTGTTTGCAAGATAGTCACAAATGCAGAGTTACTACCTAAGTTTTTAGAAATGGAAACCTATCCATGTCCAACTTAGCATGGGATGCACTGTATCCATCAGTTTGGACAGAACAGAAAGTTGACCATGCCATCGAGCTGTTAGACAGGGACACCTAGGCTGCATGCAAACAGAGAAGACCCTAGAGAGCTTTGGACTAGATCTTATGTTGAATTCACTTGAGGTTTGTTTTGGCAAAACCTACAGTTCAGTCTTCCTCCTGGGTTTTTCCTTTACTTTCACACTCACAACACTCCTGGTCGCCAAAAGGACGGGGGAACTTCCCCACACTACAAATTCTCCACATCACTTAAGTGCTCTACAATTGGGCTCAATTCTGACACAATAGTGTCATATCTCACAACTTAAGGTTGCAGTGCTACAATCAGTTTCCACCCCACTTCAGATGTCAATTAAATGTGGGAAGTCTCCAGGTTACCCACAACTTTTTACTTGGCTTCAAATGGAGTTTCCCACAAAACCACCTCTGGTTCAATTACAGTGGTTCCCATCACAGAACTTAGGAAAAACAGATGCTTATATTTAGCACTTTACTAAAAGATATCATAAAGGTTACAGATGAGCGGCTAGATGAAGAGATACTAACATGGTGTCTGAGAATGTCCAGAGTTTCTGTCCCCATGAAGTTAGGGTGCATCACTCAACCAATACTTAGATGTGTTCACCAACCTTGAAGCTCTCTAAACCCCCTCCCTCATACTGGGATCTTTATGAAGGCTTCCTCAAGTAGCCATGATTAATCATTAACTATTTCCAACCCATTGTCCTGCTCTAGATGTGTGGGACGGGGCTGAACATCCCAATCAGAGTAGATTTGACAGAACAAAAAATGCTCCTAGTACTGTTATTACTTAAGAGTTTATAAGTTTCAGGAGCTCTGTGCCAGGAACCAGTAGGTATGCATTTTCTATATCTCACAAGGTCAAATAACCAATCTCAAAAGGGCACATGCTAATTGATCCCATCTTCTTAATATTCTATTAATGACCAAATTAGATGCTGAGACAGCCGTGATGCCAAGGACTAGGGTCAGGGAAAGAATGTGACTATGAAGCGGTAACATGAGGGAGTTTGTGATAACAAAAAATTTTGTGTTTCTACTGAGGTGTTGGTAACAAAAACCTACGTGAGTTTCATAAAACTGTATTTTAAAACCAAACAAAACTAAGGGTATGTTAAAACTAGACATACCAATAAATCTTGTAGTTAACAGCACTGTAACGATTTCACTTTCCTTTTTGATAATGAACTGTGACTATGGCAGGGGTGTCCAGTGTGTGGCCCATAGGATGCATGCAGCTCAGGATGGCTATAAATGTGGCCCAACACAAACTCGTAAATTTAGTTAAAACATGGTATTTTTTTGTGATTACAAGTTGCAATGTATTTAATGTGTGGTCCAAGATAACTCTTCTTCTTCCGGTGTGGCCCAGAAATGCCAAAAGTTTGGACATGCCTGAAAGGTATTACCTTTGGGAGTAAGCTATCTGAAGGGCATTTATGAAGTTTCTAGAAAATTTCAGTTTTTGTGACTTTAAACCTATTTCATAATTAAATGTTACAAATAACATATTTATATTAACTTTATAAACCACTTAATGCTACACATCTAAATATGTTGTTATACTCATGAAATGAATACCATATTTTTTTAACCATAAGACACACCTAGGTTTTTAGAGGAGGAAAATAGGAAAATAATTTTTGAAGCAAAAAAAGTGGGTAAAATATTTAATAACATAAATAACATATTTCAATGTAAATATAAAGCTACATTTGGACTATAAGACACACTCCCGTTTCCTCCCAAATTGAGGAGTGCATCTTATAGTCTGAAAAGTACAGTATATACAATGTCCTTTTCAAGTACTTTAAGTATTCTGAAATAAGTGATTTGGAACTAAAAAATGCAAAATTTAATTATATAATGAAACAGACATAGAACACTCGTGTTGTGTATATTAAAATTTAAGCCAAGATGAGAGTAACTGCCACTTTTTAAAACTTAACATATAAATCAAGGGCAAGGCAACTCAAAATACAGCTCAAAATCCCATCCTGAATTGCTTGTGAGGTGTATTACCTGTTTAGACTTGTGACAGATGCTTTTTAATTGTTTCTTTCCTTTATTAAGTTATCTGAAGTTTTGATAAATACAACCAAATTGAATGTGTTCATGAGTTACTTCCCCATGGATATCCTGGCAAATGATGAGGCAACATTCTTTAGTTCATATTATCTCCAGGAACTACAACTGGTAACAGGCTTTCTCCAAGGCAACTACTTGTGAATTCTCTTGTTTAACAATAACTGACAAGTGGGCAAAAGCTTTTACACAATCATTGCCCCCATAGGGCCTCGCTTCTGTATGTTTTCTTGGATGAACTTTGACTCCAGTCTTTGTAGTGAAGGCTTTCCTACATTTATTACACTCATCAGGTTTCTCACCCATGTGAATTCTGTGCTGGGTAGTGAGATAATTTTTGCTCAATAATAATTTTTCACATTCAGTATATGCAAAGAAAGCCTTTCCTGAGTGAAATATCTAATGTAGTATGAGGCATGTCTTCTTCACAAAGACTTCGCCGAATTCATAGCATTTGTTTGACATTTCTATAGTATAAGATTGCTCTAAGTACTCTTCACGGTGAACTCTTTTCATACTTACTGTATACCTACTTTTTCTTTGTATGAATTCACAGATGTGCAATAAGCATTCTTCTCCCAGTTAAGCTTTAGCCACATTCCTTGTATATACAAGGTTTCTCTCCTGTGAGTGCAGTGATGAACATTTAAACAACTCTTCATACAATGAAGAAACAAATAAATGGAAGCACATACCATGTTTGCGGGTAGGAAGAATTAACATCATTAAAATATCCATACTACCCAAAGCAATCTATAGATTCAATGCAATTCTTATCAAGATTTCAATGCCATATTTCACAGAACTACAACAAAATTATATGGAGCCACAAAAGGCCCCACAATGATCATGAGAAAGAACAAAGTTGGAGGAATCACACTACCTAATATCAAACTATGCTATTAGGTCATAGTAATCAGAACAGCATGATACTGGCACAAAAACAGACACATAGATCAATGGAATACAATGGAAACCCCCCAAATAAGCCCACACCTTTATAGTCAATTAATAATTGATAGAGGAAGCAAGCACATAAAATGGTCTAAAGGTAGTTTATTCAATAAGTGGTGTTGGGAAAATTGGACAGATACATGCAAAAAAATTAAACTATACCATCTTCTCACATGACACACAAGAATAAATTCAAAATGGATTAAGGATTTAAATGGTAGACCCCCAACCATAAAAAGAGTAGAAGAAAACATATGCAGCAAAATCTTGGGATTTAGCAATATTTTATCACATATATCTCCCCAGGCTAGGGAAACAAAAGAAAGAATAAACAAATGGGACTACATCAAAATAAAAAGACAACACACAGAGTGGAAGAATACATTTGCTAATATATCATATGGGGTTAATATCCAAAATTTATAAAGAACTTACAAAACTCAACAGCAAAAATACAACAGTTAAAAAATAGGCAAAGAACCTGAGTAGGCAGTTCTCCAAAGAGGGCATACAGATGGCCAATACACAGACACATGAAAAGATGCTCAATGTCAGTAATCATCAGAGAAATGCAAATTAAAATTGTAATGGGATATCATCTCAAACCTGCAAGAACTGCTCTTATCAATAAATCAACACATGCCCTGCCTAGTGTGGCTCAGTGGATTCAGTGCTGGCCTGTAAACCAAAAAGTCGCTGGTTTGATTCCCAGACAGGACACATGCCTGGGTTGTGGGCCAAATCCCCAGTTTGGGGCATGTGAGAGGCAGCTGAGCAATGTATCTCTCACACACTGATGGTTCCATTTTTCTTCCTCTCTCTAAAAGTAAATAAATATTTTAAAAAATAAATCAACAAATAAGTGCTGGTGAGGATGTGGACAAAAGGGAATCCTTTCACACTATTGGTGGGAATTTAGATTGATGCAGCCACTGTGAAAAGCAGTATGGAGATACCTCAAAAAATGAAAAATGCATCTGCATTTTGACCCTGTGATCCCATTTCTGGGAATATATCGAAAGGAACCCAAAACATTAATTCAAAAGAACATAAGCATCGCTATGTTCATTGCATGTTGTTTACAATAACCAAGACATGGAAGTAGCCCAAGTGTCCAACAGTAGATGAGTAGCTAAAATAACTATGGGAAATTTACACAAGAGAATACTACTTGGCCATAAAAGTTTTACCTCTTTGCAACAGAATGAATGGACCTGGAGATCAATATCCTAAGTGAAATAAGCTAGTCAGAGAAAGACAAATACCATATGATTTCACTCATATGTAGAAAGGAACTAAAAAAAAAAAAAAACCAAAATAGAGGCAAACTCATAGAAAGGATGGCAGCTAAGTGGGGAGTGTAGTGGGTGGAGGTACTGAGGAAGAAAGGATTCACTGACATGAACAACAGTGTGCTGATTGGTGGGGGAAGGGAGGTATAAGGGAACTAAATGGTAATGGAACAAATGCAATTAAAACTCACTAAAAAAAAATAAGTGATTCTTCATGGTGAAGCCTTTCCCACATTCATTGCATATACATGCTTTTCTCAATTTTGAGTTCACTGAGATTAGTTGATGGTAAAGCCTTTTCTACACACACTGCATACATAGGGCTTCTCTCCCATGTTTTACCTGATGTCTGATGAGATTACACTTAGCTGTCAATCTTCCCCCACATTCATTATTTATACAAGGTTTCTGTATGTCTGGTCATGTACAATCAGCTGCATTTTCACCCAAAAGCCTTATGCACATTCAGTGCATAGATGGGTTTCTCTCCTTGTAAATTTATTGATGGACAATTAGATGATTCTTTGCAGTGAAGCCTTTCCCACATTCATTACATACACGTTTTTTCTGACATGTGACTTTGGTGATGTACAGTGAGATCATGCTTCAAGCTGACATGAGGTTAAACCTTTTCCACAAATACTACACATAGGGCTTCTCTCCAGTGTGAATTTGCTGATGTCTGATGAGACAGAACTTCACTGAGAAAGCTTTCCCATATTCACTGCATTAAAAAAGGTTTCTCTCCTGTATGAGTTTCCCCATGTATTTTGAGGGTAGACTTTTTACCAAAGCCTTTCCTGCGTAGACTGCATCCATGGGGCTTCTCTCCTGTATGAATTTTCTGATGTGCAGTGATAATTGTCTTTCTATGGAAGGTCTTACGACGTTCACTGCATACAGAGTGTTTCTCTCCGGTATGAGTACGATGATGTACAATAAAACAGCTCTTCTCGACAAAGCCTTTTCCACATTCACTGCATCTATAAGGTTTCTCTCCTGTATGAGTCCACTGATGTACAACCAACCTGTTCTTCTGTGAGAAACCCTTTCCACATTCATTGCATCTATAAGGTTTCTCTCCTGTATGAGTCCATTGATGTACAATTAACCCATTCTTCTGTGAGAAACCCTTTCCACATTCACTGCATGTATAAGGTTTCTCTCCTGTATGAGTTTTCTCATGTGCTTTCAGATTAGTCTTACTACAGAAAGTCTTCCCACATCGACTACATCCATAGGGTTTCTCTCCTGTATGAGTTTTCTCATGTCTTTTGAGATAAGTCTTCATATAGAAGGTCTTCCCACATAGACTACATCCATAGGGTTTCTCTCCCGTATGAGTTCGCTGATGACCGATGAGCAAAAAGTTTTTGAGGTATGCTTTCCCACATTCAGTACACACATAACGTTTCTCTTTCTTGTGAGTTTTCCGATGTATATTGAACTGTGATATTTTGAGGAAGGTTTTGTTACATTCAGAGCATTTATACTGTTTTAGACCTATATGAATTCTCTGATGTACAGTGAGATTTACCCTTCTATGGAAGGTCTTACCACATTCACTGCACATAAAGGGTTTCTCTCCAGTATGCATACGACGATGTACAATAAGATAACTTTTGTCAATGAAGCCTTTTCCACATTCACTGCATCTATAGGGTTTCTCTCCTGTGTGGGTCCACTGGTGTATAATCAACCTGTTCTTCTGTGAGAAACCCTTTCCACATTCATTGCATTTATAAGGTTTCTCTCCTGTATGAGTTTTCTCATGTGTTTTGAGATGAGTCTTCATATAGAAGGTCTTCCCACATAGACTACAACCATAGGGTTTCTCTCCTGTATGAGTTCGCTGATGACTGAGGAGCAGAGAGTTTTTGATGTATGCTTTCCCACATTCAGTACACACGTAACGTTTCTCTTTCTTGTGAGTTTTCTGGTGTATATTGAACTGTGATATTTTAAGGAAGGTTTTATCACATTCAGTGCATTCATACTGATTTAGTCTTGTATGGATTCTCTGATGTGCAGCGAGACTTGTCTTTCTATGGAAGGTCTTACCACATTCACTGCACATAAAGGGTTTCTCTCCAGTATGCACACGACGATGTACAATAAGATAACTCTTGTCAATGAAGCCTTTTCCACATTCGCTGCATGTATAGGGTTTCTCTCCTGTATGAGTCCGTTGGTGTACAATCAACCTGTTCTTCTGTGAGAAACCCTTTCCACATTCATTGCATTTATAAGGTTTCTCTCCTGTATGAGTCTTCTCATGTTTTTTGAGATGAGTCTTCATATAGAAGGTCTTCCCACATAGACTACATCCATAGGGTTTCTCTCCTGTATGAGTTCGCTGATGACCGATGAGCAGAGAGTTTTTGAGGTATGCTTTTCCACATTCAGTACACACATAAGGTTTCTCTTTCTTGTGAGTTTTCTGGTGTATATTGAACTGTGAGATTTTGAGGAAGGTTTTGTCACATTCAGTGCATTCATACTGATTTAGTCTTGTATGAGTTCTCTGATGTACAGTGAGAATTGTCTTTCTATGGAAGGTCTTACCACATTCACTGCATACAAAGGGTTTCTCTCCAGTATGAGTACGATGATGTACAATAAGGTAGCTCTTCTTGACAAAGCCTTTTCCACATTCATTGCATCTATAAGGTTTCTCTCCTGTATGAGTTTTCTCATGTGCTTTCAGATTAGTCTTACTACAGAAAGTCTTCCCACATAGACTACATCCATAGGGTTTCTCTCCTGTATGAGTTTTCTCATGTTTTTTGAGATAAGTCTTCATATAGAAGGTCTTCCCACATAGACTACATCCATAGGGTTTCTCTACTGCATGAGTTTTCTCATGTTTTTTGAGGTAAGTCTTTCTATAGAAGGTCTTCCCACATAGGCTACATCCATAGGGTTTCTCTCCTGTATGAGTACGATGATGTACAGTAAGATAGCTCTTCTTGATGAAGCCTTTTCCACATTCACTGCATCTATAAGGTTTCTCTCCTGTATGAGTTTTCTCATGTGCTTTCAGATTAGTCTTACTACAGAAAGTTTTCCCACATAGACTACATCCATAGGGTTTCTCTCCTGTATGAGTTTTCTCATGTTTTTTGAGATAAGTCTTTCTATAAAAGTTCTTCCCACATAGACTACATCCATAGGGTTTCTCTCCTGTATGAGTTCGCTGATGACTGAGGAGCAGAGAGTTTTTGGTGTATGCTTTCCCACATTCAGTACACACATAACGTTTTTCTTTCCTGTGAGTTTTTCGGTGTATATTGAACTGTGATATTTTGAGGAAGGTTTTGTTACATTCAGAGCATTTATACTGTTTTAGACCTGTATGAATTCTCTGATGTTTGCTGAGACTCGATCTTCTGTAGAAGGCTTTTCCACACAGACTGCACTCATGAGCTTTCTTTCTAGTATGAAAACTCTGATGATCAGTGAGCTCAGACATCTTGATGAAGCCTTTCCCACACTGAATGCATAAATGGGCTTTCTCTACATTGTGAGTTCTCTGTTGCTGGGACTTATTATTGATGGGTTCAGTACTGACAGGCAAGGTGATTTCAGTATAAAATTGTTCATGGTTAGCCTGCAGAATGGATGTCCCACCTCCATCCAACTCAGCAGAGTTCTTTAACTTACAGCTTCTGTTTAGGTTTTTAATACTTAAATTTGACTTTAAAGGTTTTTCATTTATCTTAATCATATTGCAGTTTTGCTTTAGTATGAAATGACCTTCGCCCTGATTAACAATATTTGCAAACATGTTATGTTCAAGGCATTGTTCCACACTCTTCTGAATGCTTTGACTTTGCAAGTGACACTGAAGAGGATCGTCAACTCTCCTGAGTTCTAGGAAAGAAGAGAATAGTGAATCATTGTGTAATATCTCATAATATTAATTTGAAATAAAAATTTTTTTAAATGCCTTCATGTGAATTACATAGTGATAATCCTGTGTTATAGGGTAAGTGATGAGTCTTTTTTCTAGATAAAAATAAAAACCATTAAAATTACAGCTGAGTTTATGAGGTAATTTAGCACAATGTTCCTACATAGCCTCAGAAAGAAGCTAATTACCAGAAAGAACAATTGATTAGAAGGTTCAACTTTCAGCCCCACCTACTGACATACGGGAAAGGAGGGTAGGTCTGAGATTAAACCTCTATAAAAATTTTTAACATAGGTAACTATGTCTCTGAGTACTGTGAAACACTTGAGAAATTAATTGAACTCTCAAAGAAGAGTTCATGATATCCTTCAACTTATAGCTAGTTGGTCAGAAACACAGGTTACAATATGGACTTGCAATTGACATCTGAGGTAGGGGCAATCTTATGGGACTGACCTTTTAACTTGAAGGGTCTGACACTATTTCTTGGATAGATAGTGTCAGAATTGAGCTAAATTTGTGGGTTATCTAGATTTAATATTTTGGGTATATATACATGAAGCAAAGTAGTAAAGACAATTATAGTCTATGAACCATGGTTAAAGGGGCAATGGAATGTAAGAGGTTGACAAAATCAGGATGTACAGGGTGGGGCAAAAGTAGGTTTACAGTGTTCATTTGGAAAATGAAACAATAATTAATAAATAATAATATAAGAATAAGCTCTCTATTGCATATTCACAACTATAAACCTAATTTTTCCTCAATGTGTACTTAAAAGAGAAAACAAAGTTCACTGATTGGATCAATGAGATACATGAAAAGAGGTTCATGAAAGGGAGGACTTAAAAATTACTCCAGGGAATTATGTGGCTTGAGCCACTGGGTAGGAGAAATACCTATTAATGAAATGAGGACTATTACTGAAGTTCAGGTGAGGGGAAAATATAGTGTGCTTTGTGAAACAAAGTTTAAGATGATTATTACATACATAGGATTATAATACTTCTACTGAAAACAAAAGTACTCTTAAAAGTGGAGACAAGATCTATTTTTTTTCTGGTTTTGGTACAGCTGTCATCTTAAAAAATATTATGCCATCAGAATGCAAGTTTTCAAGAAATTATGCAATCCCATAAATCATAGGAGATGATCATAGGTATGGAACATATTAAGGGGTATAAACAGGATGACAGAAACTTTCTAGTCAAAATGATGGCATATCACAAAGATCACTGAAAAAGAACTGCAATTTCATATGATAGGAAAACTTGGTTACCTGGGACTAAGTGTCATCAGAATATGAGAAAATAATTTTATTTTTAGGACCTAGCAGCAAATAATTAAAAAATGCATTTAAAAAATCAATTCCATTTACTACATAATAAAAAAAAAATCTTGCCCTGGCTAGTGTGACTCAGTGGATTGAGTACTAGCCTCTGAACCAAAGGGTCACCAGTTTGATTCCCAGACAGGAACATGACTGACTGGGTGGGTTGTAGGCCAGGTCCCCAGTAGGGGGCACACAAGTGCAACCGCACATTGATGTTTCTCTTCCTCTCTTTCTCACCCCTTCCCCTCTGCCTAAAAATAAATTAAATCTATTAAATAATTTTTAAAAAACCTTCACAAACTGCATACACACATCTCTGGACAAAAAAGTGGGGTTAGGGGAGTGGTTTCTATGGAAAGTAACCTAACAAGGTGATCTGATCATAAATTCCTAACTGGGCATGTTAAAAAAAAATATATACACACACACACACACACACGTATACAAAAAAAATCTCACACTGGAGAATAAACTGGACTTCCAGCCAGATGGAGGCATAGGTAGACACACTGTGCCTCCTCGTACAACCAACATAAGGACAACAAAAATTCAGAAACAAAAAAAATCAGAACTGACAGAAAATTGAACTGTATGGAAGTCCGACAACCAAGGAGTTAAAATAGACACATTCAACCAGATCAGTAGGAAGGGAGGAGTAGGGCACTGGGTAGAGAGGGGTCGCAGCAAAAAAAAGTGGTGGCTTCCAGACCCCAGGCACGCAAGACAGCAGCGGGTGGACCATGTGTGCACAGGCAGTGGCTGGCAGAACCCGGGCTCAGGGCAGCAGCGGGCAAACCCAGTGAGGTGTGCAAGGCAGCTGGCTGACCAGACTCTCACACATTTGCTCACACATAAACCAGGTGAAACTGGGGAGGGAGACAAACTACGCAACCCAGGGCCCCAGCGCAGGGAAATAAAGTCTCAAAACACTGATTGAAACCACCCGTGGAGCCCTGGCTGGTGTAGCTCAGTGGATTGAGCGCAGGCCTGGGAACCAAACAACCATGTTTTGATTCCCAGTCAGGGCACATGCCTGGGTTGCAGGCCAGTTCCCAGCAGGGGAAGCACAAGAAGCAACCATACACTGATGTTACTCTCTCTCTCTCCTTCCCTTCCCCTCTAAAGATAAATAAATAAAATCTTAAAAAAAAAAAAAAAAAGAAAACACCCATGGGGGGCTAAGGCATAGGGAGAGACTCCCAGCCTCACAGGAGAGTTTGTTGGAGAGACCCACAGGGTCCTAGAATGTACACAAGCCCACCCACATGGGAATCAGCACCAGAAGGGCCCAATTTGTTTGGGGGAAGGAACTTAAATCCGGTGAATTTAAAACTGGCGGAGGGGACTTAAATCCAGCAGAGAGTGGAGCAATAGCCATTCTTCCCTCTTGGGTCCCTGCCACACATAGAGCATCATAACCCCGACACTGGGTTGCCCTGCCCTGATGAACAACTAAGGCTCCACCCCTCACTACATAACAGGCACACAGAGAAAAAAAAAAAGGCCCAAATGGAAGAACAGATCAAAGCTCCAGAACAAATAAAACTAAGCAACTAAGATATAGCCAACCTATCAGATGCACAGTTCAAAGCACTGGTGATCAGGATACTCACCAAAATTGATTGAATTTGGTCGCAAATTAGATGAACCAATGAAGGCCACACTAAGTGAAATAAAGGAAAATGTACAGGGAACCAACAGTGATGGGAAGAAAACTGGGACTCAAATCAATGGAGCGGACCAGAAGGAAGAAAGAAACAACCAAACAGAAAAGAATGAAGAAACAAGAATTCAAAAAAAATGAGGAGAGGCTTAGGAATCTCTAGGACATCTTTATACGTTCCAACATCCGAATTATAGGGGTAGCAGAAGGGGAAGAATAAGAGCAACAAGTGGAAAAGTTATTTGAACAAATAATAAAAGAGAACTTCCCCAATCTAGCAAAGGCAATAGACTTCCAGGAAGTCCAGGAAGCTCAGAGAGTCCCAAAAAAGCTGGACCCAAAGAGGAACACACCAAAGCACATCATGATTACATTAGCCAAGATTAAAATGAAGGAGAGAATCCTAGAAGCAGCAAGAGAAAAGGAGACAGTTACTTACAAAGGAGCTCCCATCAGACTGTCAGCTGATTTCTCAAAAGAGACCTTACAGGCAAGAAGGGGCTGGAAAGAAGTATTCCAAGTCATGAAAGGCAAGGACCTACAACCAAGATTGCTCTATCCAGCAAAGCTTTCATTTAGAATGGAGGGGCAGATAAAGTGCTTCTCAGATAAGGTCAAGTTGAAGAAGTTCATCAGCACCAAGCCCTTATTATATGAAATGTTAAAGGAACTTATCCAATAAAAAGATAAAAAACATATACAGTAAAATCAAAGCAAACTCACAGTTATTAACAACCATACCTAAAACAAAAGCAAAAGCAAACTAAGCAAACAACTACAACAGGAACAGAACCACAGAAATGGAGATCACATGGAGGGTTAGCAACAGGGGAGTGGGAGGAGGAAAGAGGGGGGAAAAGGTACAGAGAATAAGTAGCACAGAAGGAAGGTAGAAAATAGACAGGGGGAGGGCAAGAATAGTATGGAAATGTAGAAGCTAAAGAACTTATGACACATGGACATTAACTAAAGAGGGAAAATGTGGGTGAGAGAGGGTGTGCAGGGTAGAGGGTAAGGAAGGGGGAAAAAGGGACAATTGTAATAGCATAATCAATAAATTATATTAAAAAATAATAAAGGGAAGTGTAAAACTTTTACTGTGAAATTTACAAAACATTGTTGAAAGAAATTAGAGACCAAATTAGATGAAAAAACACCCAATGATTCTGAATTAGGATATATAATATGGGTAAGATGGAATTACTACCGAATTGATACACAGATTCAATGTAATCTCTATCAAAATTGTCTTGAGAGAAAAGAACAGAGTTGGAAGATTGACTTCTTCCAATTTCCAAGCTTATTGCAAAGCTACAGAAATCAAGGCCATGATGAGAATATGTACATATAAAATGTTCCCAAATTGATTGTAGTAATGGTTCAAAAAGATGAATATACTGAAAATGAATTAAGTATATAATTTAAATGAGTAAATGGTATGGTATATGAATTAAATCTAAGTAAAACCATTAAAAATATGACTATGATGTGGGAAAAAAGCTTCAAAACAAAAATGCATTGATAATATCTAAGAGTAAAGCAAAATCTGAATTACAAAATCTAGGAAGGGAGTTATCTGAAGCAGACATAAGTTATAATATAATTTGTGCTGGAACTCCTTTACCATGTTAAGATTGTTTCCTGGGGTAGGGAAGCAAAGCATGATGTGATGTGAAACGAGATTATCATGGAGACACAACTTGCCAGTTGGGGTTTGATTTTAGAGAAGGAAAGCACTATGTCGAAACTGGGCACTATAGCCCCATAGTGAGAGAAAGTGAAAAATTCAAAGTTCTATCTTTCCAGAGAGACCTAGAAAGTGGAGTTTCACAGCAAGAGAAGTGGTAACACAGAAAGAGATGCTGTGACTGTGGACAATACAGAGGAAGATCTGAGAATACTAAGACAAAAAAAAACTATACAAACACAAACAAGATGTAAACAAAGCAAATGGGGGTCAGAGCCCAGGGGAGAGAAATGAAGTACGGTTTCCTTTAAAGTTCTATAAACAAAAAGGGTTTTCAAACATGGAGGGTAGTTTGAGCTTCCTCATTCACTGTCACAGCTCTGACACCATCTCTGACTAGATTTCCCAGCCTCCCACCTTGCTTGTTCTCACCCCCTCACCTGGGCAGACTACATGGTGCAGTTCATCCTGTACTGCTCTCAGCTCTTCCCCTTGTTCCAACCCGGACAGTGCGTCTGGTTTGCTGGCTTGATACCCTGCTTGTGAAAAATGACAGAAGACTTAGACATACTGAACTGGGCTGATGTCTGTCAAGAAGAGAGAATGTTACATTGCAGAGAATGAACAGTTTCACATCTGTTCACATTATCAGCTTTCTCTCCAAAAAGGGGACATTATACCCTCTTGTCATGGGCAAAAGAAAGGTCTCAGATTCTGCCATTTCAGAGAACTGTAGTTATTCTGAAGAGTTAAGTACCTGAGAAAAAAAGAAAACACTAATAGGGCACCATCTAAGTGACACTTAGGAGCTGTCCTCACCCACTGACACCAGGTTGCTGTAGTTCTCCAACATCACATCCCTGTACAGGTCCTTCTGATTGGGGTCCAGGAGCTGCCACTCCTCCCAAGTGAAGTCCACAGCCACGTCATAAAATGTCAGGGATTCCTGTAACAGCACTGTGCTGTTCAATGGCATGATGTGCTTAAATGACATTAAAGAAATGTTAGTTTTTCTGTTCATTTTCACATTATAGGCTGTATTATATATATATATATATATCAAGTGGGGTTTATTTTAATATACAGTTTTATCATCACCAGCCTAGTAAAATACTATTTTATAATTATTCATTTGTTCATCCATATAGTCAACAACCAGTTAGAAGTTTTTTATAATGTGAAGTTAAATATTCTTGTTTACCTAGAAATACCACATTCATGCATTTGACAGACAAAAAGTATACTCCTCAGATTAACAAATGTGTTTATTTTTCTAGGCCTCTACAAATTTATTCATAAAAAGGGAAAAAAAATTAAAACCAAAGTTACCTGAGCCTGAAGCATTTTCTTCTGTTCTCTGGAAAGAGCTGGCAATAGGGAGGTTCTGTCTTGTTGTGTTCTAGGTCTGCTCTAAATTTCTGTTCAGATCTCTGTTTTCAGTCAGGTGTGTCCCCAGAAATGCTGAATCAGTTTCACATGATTCAATAGCTCTTAGAGTCCTTATCAGAAATGTCCAATCCTGTAGAAAATTTTTACAAGTTTGTATGAGCCAAATTGACAGCAACTGCCGGAAAACAAAATAACAATGGATTGAGAAAATGTTCCATAGCATTTTTACACCTTATTTTATAAATTAAAGTCAAAGGAAAGACATAAGAAGGTTACCTGAAATGCACTGGTGATAGATTAGGAAGGTGAGAGAAAGCAAGAGAAAAATCTCTGGGACTGGAGATAAAGTAAAAAGAATAGACACATATTTCTTTTATATAGGTGGAAATAGGATAGTTAACAATTAATGCAATAACTATAACCATGGAGGGTTCTGTAGAGACTTGGGCTGGTGGGAGATTGTGCCCTGAGGGGGCTGGAAAAAAAGAAGTTAATCTGACATTCTAAAAGTATGTTATTGTGATACAAAAAGAAAATAGGCCCAGTTAAGGTAAAGATTGACCTTGGTCAAGGAAAATACCGATCTAAAATATGACTACCCACCATTACTTACTTTCAGTTAAAAAGTTTTAGTATCAGACCTGGCTGGTGTGGCTCAGTGAATTGGGTGCCCGCCTGTGAACTGAAAGGTAGCCAGTTTGATTCCCAGTCAGGGCACATGCCTGGGTTGCAGGCCAGGTCCCCAATTGGGGACTTGTTAGAGGCAACCATCTGCTATAGCTCTCCCTGTCTCCCTCCCCTCCCCTCTGTATAAAAATAAATAAAAATAAAAAACTTTAAAACCAGTGCAGGTACTCCTTTATTCTGTGGCATTTAAGTGGAGTAACTGTGAAAAGATGAAGGGAATGATATTGTTGGAGGCAGGAAAAAATTTTTTTGCCTTCTAGATTCTTTGACTGATCTAATAGTTAAATTGATAGAACACAGATTAACAGAGGAAAAATAACTTAAAAGGTTAATAACATATATAACTCTTATACTGATGGAAGCAACCCAGAAAACAAAGTAACTGGCAAAAATGGCAGCCACCAACACCTGCAATACCACTTTCACCTAAAGTCAAAAGATGTTGGGGGTGGAGAGTAAGTAACAGAAGGTTACCAAGGCACAGTAAAGGCACAGTAAACAAACAGCAAGACTGTTATGCAGATATAAGTCCTCCTTCTTCCACTGATAGTTATGGGGAGTTGTGGTATAGTGAGGGAGACACCCTTACAGATGAGATTGCTCTTACAAATGTAAATGTCCTTCACAACAGTAACTTCTACTAGGTTTTCTGAGCTTCTTCCAGCGCTGCAGTTTCTTCAAATTAACCAGCCTAAAATAACCAATACCATAAAGAGGCATATTTTAAGGTGGCAAACTACTCCTTTTCAGACTCAAAGAATTATACATTCAAAAGACAAAATTTTCTCCCCAAAACAACTAACACATTTTCACATATACAAGGTTTGCCAACACATGCTCTCACTCTTCATATTGATGCAAAAAGAAAATATATAATGTCCCCCCAAATGGAATTTACTTATAAAAAATCGTGTATTTATTCTTACATGTTTAAATTTCAGTCACCTTCAAAGCATCCTCCATTTCATACAATACATTGATTGAGACATTTTTCTCTACTGCTCAAAACAGTTTCTGAACTTGTCGATTTTGATATCTTTTAGTACTTCTGCTGTTTTTGTTTCACCTCTCCCACACTGGCAAAATATTTCCCTTTAAGGACCTGTTTTCTCATCCAGGGGAAGAAAAAATAGTCACTGGGGGCAAGATTGGGTGAACAGAGCGGTTGGGGCACAGGTGTCATACTGTTTTTGGTTAAAAACTGCTGAACACTCAGTACAGTGTGAGCAGGTGCACTAATAAGTCACTCATCCTAAAATGGGCAAACATGTTGAAAAAGTCTTCAAAAAAAATTTTTCAGTGTAGCTGAATGCAGCCTCTTACAACAATGCCAGCTGGTACACTGATACAGATGAGTTCCTAGAACATTCACCTAGAGGGGGAATCTTGTACTACAAGGGGTCCACCCTCCAGAAGTTAATTCCAGGGGGTTTTGGGGGTTCCTCCTCGTATCATTGGCTAGAACTACACAATGTATCTAAAATCATTTTACAGTAATTCAATCAGTGGTAATGGAAACTGGAATCCCTACGGTTGATTAAGACCAAAATTACTAACACACTTGTATATGGGTCACCTTGCCAGAGGGATGGATATTAAATAAAATAGAAATTCTGTTAGGATAAAAAATGGATGAACGTATTTCAGGCAAATAAGCAACAATGTCCACTGCTCTATACGAAGAGGTGAGAGCAGGTGTTGTCGGCAAATGTGTGAAAGACACAGATAAACATTTTCCACTTTACAGACCAAAACTTGTGTCACAACAGCCCAATTCTACTCTGCCACAGGAAATGTGCCACAGAAGATACGTTATGAATGAGTGTTTAGTCCCTGGATATGTAGTCAGTTGACTTCTGGATTAAAAACTGAAAACCAGATGGCTTGGAGGTAGTGCTCTGAGCCCTAACACCTTCTGTCCCCAGCAGCAGTGGAGGTTGTAACTTTAACCAAATACCAGTGGTCCTGAGTGTTCAAAACTTAATGTTCACAAGCATCTCCTGACCACAGACACTGAATACACTTCCTGATTAATTGGAATCTAGGCCCTGATGGTTATGGCTCAGTTGGTTGGGCATTGTGGTTCAGTACATCCCTGGGTTGCAGGTTCTGTCCCCAGATGGGATGCTAGGAGAGGCTACTCTCTCATAATGAAGTTTCTCTTCCTCTCTCTCCACCCCTTTTCCTGTCTCTAAAAAAATAAGTAAAATCTTTAAAAAAGAAAGGAAACGGGGCCAAACACCATGTGATGACCAGCCACACCACCCCCAACATCACTGAGCAGTGTATTAAACCTGACTCCAACTTAAACCTGACACTGGCTTCATCCTAAATGCCACCTGTACCATGTACAGGTGAGGTGACCTGCAGAACCCCATACCCTGAAGGGCCAAGGGTGTTACTATAATGGGGGGGGATACACACCCCTGGAAATGGGGGCCTGGTTTGGGCTGGGCATGTCTGACTGGTGACTTCACCCCCTTGCTAAACCTGGCAGCTAGAAGAGGGGCAAAGGCAAATATGGCTGATACTGGCCCTTACTGATTGGAGAGCCAGACACTTCCACTGGCTTTCAACATACATGGGATTCTGAGAGAAGACTTTTGAAAGGGGGTGTGCATGGAAGCAAAGTCAGTTGATTCCTTCCCCTCCCCCTGCAAGTGGTATGGCAATGGAGGCCAGTGAGGGGCCTGTGAGCAGAGGCCTGGGGGCAGACTCTAAAATACACCTAAAGATACACAGTGACTGGAGACCAGCTAAGCCACTTACGTTTATGATTCCTTGGGTGGGAAAAGAGGTTTTCATTGCAACCTTGAACTGAGCTGGCAGAGGGTGACAGGGTGACTTTTCTCTGGGTGTCTTAGAAGGAACAGCGTCTGAGGCAGAAACTTGCCATTATTTCCAAAGACACTGGATAATAGCACTGTGCACAGATTTATGTTCTTATGTTTTCAGTTCTTGAACCTATGTGGTAGTTGTAATGACAAATATTTAAGTAGCTATTTTTTATGTCATACTCTGATTTTCCTTTCCTCTTATTTTGTAACCCAGATATTTTAGGCAGAAACTTGTCATTAAATAAAATATTCCTTTATTTTCCACTGAACTCCGTCTTTGGAAATTTGCCTGGTGGAGGCGATAGGACTTCCCCGTCCGCCCGCCCCCCCCCCCGCCCCGCGCCCCCAATCATTGGGTTGGGTAACATTATCTCTACACATTGACCCCCAATCACAGACAGACACCTCTGGTTCCCCTCAAATCCAATTTTCACATCGTCCCCCTTAACTAGCTCCACCGGTGTGCTTCTACTCTCCCCCCCCTCAGACCCAGTGATGATTCCGTGCTCCACACGACACGTCATCCATATGTCTCCTTGTGAGAAACAAAATTTCCACTGTGACGAAAAAACTTCCAGAGACAAAACCACATACTGACCTGACCTGCTCCCCAGACCCACACGCGGAGCGAACGCTGTACTTCCTCAACTCGCTTTAACTTCGGCACGAGTCCCACTCTGTCTACGGTGGGTGAAGAGGGTCCTAGGCGTATGAAGAAAGGCAGCGAACGATTTCCGGTATTTGATGGCAATATGTCCGCGCCCATCTGGAGGTGGCACCCTGGGGGCCGCCATGTTGGGATGCCTGACTACCGAGCAGAAGGAAGAGCCGCAGCTTTAGGGACATTAGTGAGAGAGGGCGAGAGTGAAAAGTTACTAACATTCTTTTTCTGGCACTTCCACTCTTTTGGAAATTGGGTAAAAATTCAGAGCTTCACGATGAAAACATGATGCGGGCAAAGTTGCCTTCAGCGCGCTCTGTAGAAAAGGACATAAATCCCCAGAGTTAACTCCATTTTATGTATTTATAAACATTTCCAGACAACTAGCAGTTAAGGTATAGCAGTGCGGAGCGGTGGGATACTCCTAAAAAGGGACAAGATAATACAGCTGGTAAATAGCACCCACAGACTGGTAAGAGTTGCCGTAAGCGTCCTATAGGAACAAAAAGACACTGGCACATTGTGAAACTGACTATCAGGTAGAAGACCGACTGGGACCAGGGAGCCTAAAGGTGTCATTGAGGGTGTAGACTCAGGAAAAGGCACTGAAATTTGGCCAGTATAAGTCTGGAATCAATGGCAAGGGCATAACCTGAATTCATGCCATTAAAAGGTATATTGTAAGCATGGTGAGGTAGATGTAACCCAGGATTTAAGGCCAAAAATAATAAAAATAAAGTGTGTATCAGGCCGTATTTTAAAAGGCATAGTCCTGGGCCCCAGCCCAGGACTGGAGTTTCTGGTTTAGAGAGTATGGGATATGAGTGGGGATTTGCATTCATTTACGGTTCTGAGGCAGGAGGGCTGTTACAATAGTTAGGAACAGTACTGTGTTGGGATTAATTGGTGATCATCTTGTAAGTTATATACATGTTGTACATGTATATAACTATGTTGTACATCTCTGAAACGAATATAATTGTGTCAACTGTAATGGAAAATTTTTTAAATTAAAAAACCAAAAGAAACAGCCCTGGAATGTACTCTGGTTACAAATATGATTGGTGATTCCCCTCCATATCTCAGCCTTGGCTCAAGTCATTTCCAGAAAACCCTACATTGGTAAGAGCAGGAATAACTCCCCCACTCCCATTACAGCCTATGCATTACTATAAATTACTATCTATGAGTTACAATAAATTATTAACTATTGTTGTCCTTATGGGATTCACCATATCCTGAGGTTTCATGATCCATTTTATAGTCTTCCTCACTAGATTTTAGGTCCACAAAAGCAGTTTTTATGCCTGTTTTGTTCACTGATGTAACCTCAGTGGGTAATACAATGGCTGGCACAGTGTTGTTGCCTGAAAATGTATTTGAAGAATTGAATTACCTAGAACCCAATATTGGAGATTGAATTCTGAAATAACCACATGACAAAGCAAATTCCCATTTTTATTCTGATGAACAAGACTCACTGTTTATAAGTTGGATAGGTGGGAAACTATGGGACAGTTATGAGATTAAGAGAAACTACACCGAATAGTGAGAGTACAAGAGCCCCACTCCCAAGAGACAGAGAAGGAAAAATGAACAGAAAGCAGATGTCTCAATTCAGCAGGTAACATTGGAGCTGGAATCTTTGAAATGGTGGCAGCTCTAAAGGGTGATGGTCCTGTGCACAGACCCAGAGGCTCTTCTTCATGACATCTCTTAAGGATTTCACCTTCCATCTCCCATATTCTTCATTCTTAGAGTCTAAGATTCCTGTCATCTGTCTTATCCTACCAAAGATCCTTTCTTTTTTTCTCCTTTGCCCAGCTTATATTCAATTGAAGTCTCTAATCATACATAATTTGGGGAGGAGACAACCATTTAGTTAGCTACAAAAGTTTGATTGTTGCACTGTCAGTGAGATAGCCACCAGTTACATATGGCTACTGAGCACTTGAGGTGTGGTGTAGCACAACTGAGGAACCGAGCTTTTATTTGGTTTTTTAAAATGTAAAATATAAAGAGAAAAAATGGTCAAGGAATTTTTCATCTACTTGGAGAAGTAAGACATGAGTATTAAAAAAAGTAACTTGTTCCCTGGCTGATGTAGCTCAGTGGATTGAGCGCAGGCCTGCGAACCAGAGGATCGAGGTTCGATTCCCAGTCAGGGCACATTCCTGGGTTGTAGGCCAGTTCCCTGCAGGCTATTTCCCAGCAGGGGAAGCACTAGAGGCAACCCTACATTGATGTTTCTCTTCCTCTCTCCTTCCCCTCTAAAGATAAACAAATAAAATCTTTAAAAAAAAAAAGTAACTTGTTGAGGTGCTTAAAGTTTATTAAGAGTATTCCTTGCCCTCCCTCCAAATAATAAGCCCCTTAATTTAACTCCTTAAAATAATTACTCCCTATTTGCTATAGAGAGAATGTCTCACTCAAATCCGTTCATTGAAGCCTAACCCCAAATGTGATAGTCCTAAGAAGTGGGCATTTCAGAGCTGATTAGGTCATGAGGAAGGAATCCTCACGAACTGGATTGCTAACCTTACAAAACGCAACCCAGAGGGCTCCCCTGCCCCTTCTTCCACATGAGGACACAGAGAGGTCTTCTGTGAACCAGGAAGTGGGCACTCAATACACACCCATCTGCCAGTGCCTAGATTTGGCTCTCTGCAGCTTTTAAAACTCTAAGAATTAAATTTCAGCTTTTATAACCACCGAAGCTCTGGTATTGTTTTGTAGCAACCAGGACAGCCTAAGACTATGTCAATTTCATGAGTGTATATTGACATTTTCTTAATAGATTCGCTGGTGTGTGTATAGGTGTCTCTTAGAAATAAGATAACCCCACTACTCTTTAATGGTCTCTCCAGGACACCATGGCCGTCTTCTCTTTTTTGAGCAATACAATTCTCAGCTTGTAAAAGACAACCAGATGCAACAGATATATTGAATATTTGAGGAAAACTCAATATAAATTAATGAATCAACTCACTTTAAGGCTGGTGTTCTGTAACTCCCTCTGCATAATATGAAATTCTAAAAGTTTATGGGAGATGCCCTGGCCAGTGTGGCTCAGTTGGTTAGTGTTGTCCTGTAACCGAAAGGTTGCCAGTTTGATTACCAGTCAGGGCACATACTGAAGTTGCAGGTTCAATATCTGGTCCAGGAGCTTATGGGCCAAAAATAGAAATGCCTTATGGGTACCCCAGTGCCTCCGTTTTCAAGAGATGGTCACAAGCGCAGAGCTACTACTTAAGTTTTTAGAAGCTGGTACCTATCCAAAGACAACTGGGCATGGGATGCATTGTATCTGTCAGCATGAGCAAAAATAAATAAATAGATTGTGCCTTTGAGTTGTGAGACAGGGACACCTAGGGTATAGTCAGTTTCCACGAGGTCCGGTGTCCATATTGGTAGAGAAGACCCTAGAGAGCTTTAAGCTGAATCTTAGGTTGAATGTACTTCAGATGTGTTTTGGGGAAACATACAGTTCAGTCTGTCTCTTGTGTTTCTTCTTTTTTTTTTTCTTTTTTTAAATTTTAATTTTATTTAGTTATTTTTCAATTACAGTTTTTTGTCTATTTTTCCCATCCCAGCCTCCCCCTCTTGTGTTTCTTCTTACTCTCACACTACTTCCACCATCACATAAAAGGCACTACAAACATATACTACACCATATACACCACAAAATAGGGCTTTTATCCTGTATAAGTCTGCTGATGTTGGATAAGCCAGTGCTTATGTTTTAAATAACAAAAATATAGCTTTCTACATTTAAAATAAAATTCTATTATTAGGTCATTAATGTAATTTTATGGCTTTAAATTTTTTCACTTCTTGATTGAGCACAGGCTTGCAAAACAAACATCGCTGGTTTGATTCCTAGTCAGGGCACATGCCTGGGTTGCAGGGTTCCCACCAGGGGCCAGTTCCCAGCAGGGGATGCACAAGAAGCAACCATACATTGATATTTCTCTCCCTCTCTCCTTCCCTTCCCTTCTAAAGATAAGTAAATTAAATTTTAAAAAATTAATAAATAAAAATAAAATAAAGTAAAATGTATTGCTCTTTTATGTTATAGAAAAGTATAAAGAAAGGAGAGTTAGAAAATAATATTATGTTTAAAACAGCAATAAAAGTACTGTGTTTTTCAGACTATAAGACGCACCTTTCTCCCCTGACCCAAAATTGGGAAGAATAATGGCTGTTAATACTGCTGTTGAGATCTGTTTATATTTACATTGGTGAAGTATGTTATTTATGTTATTAAATATTTTACCACATTTTTTACTTCAAAAAATTTTCCCTATTTTCCTCCTCTAAAACCTAGGTGCGTCTTATGGTACAAAAAATACAATAAGTAGTCTAGACTGTAGATGAAAAGCAGGGGACAAATCTATGGGTAAATGCAAAATCAAAAATGTTCTTAAAATTACACTTTTAGGGTTTCCAGGACAAGTGGCTACTGCTTTGGGAGGCTCGGCCTCTGGGGCCTGCTGGTGGTGACTGCCTAGGGAGGTGTGGCAGCTCACGGGCAGGTATACTGATGATGAAGGACTATGAGTTTTCAGATCTGCTGGAGAGACTACAAAGTTCTGGTTGTTATGGTACCTTTAACTGGGTTCATACATTTGAAGTGGCACAGAACCAAAAGCAGCCCTGTTTTCCAAAAACCTAACATGGAAAACATTACTGAGTTACATACTCTGGCACTTACAAGTCCTCAGAAGGAATACATTCAGGAGTAATTGCAGGGTTGTATTCTTCAGAAAGAAGTGGCTTTGAATTTGAACTTGATATTGAAAGAAGAAATGAAAAAAACAAGTTAAAATAGAAAAAAATATCTTCTTGTAATTGGAGTTTCTATCATAGGTGTCCAAAATGGACACCTACAGATCATTTTCCTTCTGCACAAAGTACATACGTAGTGCAGAGGCAAACAAAAGAGTATCAAAGAATAAAGAAAAATAAATATTTGAAATTACAAATGTCATTAAATCATTATATGCTGATAAGATTTTTAAACATAAGCATATTTAATTTTATTTAAAAATGTTGCATATTAAGACCTTTGCTCCTGAAAAATAGTTTTTAAATTTATTTTTTTATTGATTATGCCATTACAGTTGTTCTATTCCCCCCCTTCATTCCCCTCCACCCTACCCCCTCCGTCCCCACCATTACCCCCCTTTAGTTTATGACCATGTGTCTCGAGTTCTTTAAATTCTATATTTCCCATACTATTTGTGCCCCCCATCAATTTTCTATCTACTGTCTATGCTACTTATTTTCTGTACCTTCTCCCCCCTTCTCCTCCTCCCACTCCCCTGTTGCTAACCCTCCTTGAGATCTTCATTTCTATGTTTCCACTCCTGATCTAGCTGTCCTTTTAGTTTGCTTTTGTTTTAGGTGTGGTTCTTAATAACTGTGAGTTTGCTGGCCTTTCACTGTTCATGTTTTTTTAACTTCTTTTTCTTAGATAAGTCCCTTTAACATTTCCTATAATAAGGGCTTGGTGATGATGAACTTGAATTTGATCTTATCTGAGAAGCACTTTATCTGTCCTTCCATTCTAAATGAAAGCTTTGCTGGATAGAGCAGTCTTTTGAGACAGTCTGATAGGAACTCCTTTGTAGGTGACTGTCCCCTTAGCTCTTGCTGCTTCTAGGATTCTCTCCTTCATTTTAATCTTGGCTAATGTAATTATGATGTGCCTTGGTGTGTTTCTTCTTGGGTCCAACTTCTTTGGGACTCTCTGAGCTTCCTGGATTTCCTGGAAGTCTACTTCCTTTGTCAGATTGGGGAAATTCTCCTTTATTATTTGTTCAAATAAGTTTTCCACTGGTGGCTGTTCCTTTCCCCCTTCTGGTACCCCTATAATTCGGATGTTAGAGCGTTTAAAGATGTTCTGGAGGTTCCTAAGACTCTCCTCATTTCTTTGAATTCTTGCTTCTTGACTCTTTTCTGTTTGGCCATTATTTGCTTTCTTCTGGTCCACTCATTGATTTGAGTCCCAGTTTCCTTTCCATTACTATGGGTTTCCTGTGCAATTCCATTCATTTCGATTAGTTTCGCCTTCATATGTTTCTCTAATTTGTGGCTATAATCAACCAGTTCTGCGAGGATCCTGATCACCAGTGTTTTAAACTGTGCCTCTGAGAGTTTTGCTATTTCTTTATCGCTTAGGTTTATAGGCTCTGGGGCTTTGAGATCTTCTTGAGCCATTTTTGGTCTGTTCTCGCCCGTTAAGTATGAGTGGCAGAGCCTTGGACTCTCAGGTCGCTGGGTTGTGATGCTGTATGTGGGGGCGGGGTCAGAGCGGGAAATGGCGGCGCCCTGTGTTGCCGCCTGCCTTGGGGCCTGCTCAGTCCCGTAGTCTCACCGCCCACTCCCTCGCTTGTCTGTCTGCGCAGGAAAGTGCGACCACAGTCAACCCGCAGCCCTGCTCCCTCGCTATTTCCCCACGGTTGCTCGCTGAGTCGCTTACTAGGTCCAACCCTGTGCCTGGGTTCCGCGCGCCCGAGTCCGTCTGACGGAGTTTTTATGTGCAACTCTGCTCCAACAGCTGCTGGTTTCGCCCCTCTTACCGGTCAGGCTAAAGAATTTGTTGTTATCAGACTTCCGAAAAGTTCAATTTTCTGTGTTCTGGCTGTGTTTTCTGTTGCTAATATTTAGTTGTCTCTAAACTTGGTTGTGAGAGAAAGCATGGCTTCTCCATCTATGCCTCCATCTTGGCAGAAGTCTCCCTGAAAAATAGTTTTTAAATGTTAAAGAGGAAACTATGGTTAACAAAATAAGAGCTGTCTTCACAAATTACCACCTAAAGTTAAGATGTCTCATTTAGAAGCTAAAAATCTGTCACTGTAAAAGTGAACCACTGATTAGTGAGAGAGTCGGAATCAAATTTTCTGTCTCTAAATGAAGGTAACATCATACTATAGTCCTTCAGGTAGGCCAAAGCAGCTGCAAAATAGCCTGGGAGGCTCTGTGTGGACAGCTTCATAGTCGTCAGCCATGTTTGCTAACCTTTCGATTGCCCATTCCATTTTAAAGATCCTAGCAACTTCCTTGCAGAATCCTGTATGGTGCTTCAGGGACTATGGCTTATTCACAGCCATTCTTTGCTGTCATCTTATTGAAAATGTTCAGAGAATAGGCTTGACACCCACCACAGTCATTATATAAATATCTTTTGACCTCTGCAAAAGAAAAAAAATGATATATTTAACATTTAACTTATATATAAATCTATGCAAATACTTAATGAATTACCTTATAATACCACCAGTTAACACATTACATATAATTCGTGTTTTTCACATGAAAAAAATCATAGTGTCACTTATGCAATTTACCTGAATTATGAGTACTAGGCAAATAATACCAAAACCTAACATGAAAATAAGCTAAAATTTTGATAAGTATTATCCTTTAGGAACAGAACTTAAAGTGACACTGGTATTCTTTTGCTTGTGTCAGAAAGAATCTGAAAAGAAACAGCCAAAAGGAGAAGAGATGCATCTTAAATAGAAAACAGTCCACTACTACATGTTTACCTAATGGATCTCTACATTATGCATCTCACCAAATTAAAGTTTTTAATGTTAAATAGATATATGTATTTTTAAAACTTTATTTTTAGAGAGAGAAGAAGGAAAAGAGAGAAAAAGAGAAACATCAATGTGCAGCTGCCTCTACAGTGTCCCCTCACTGGGGATCCAGCCAGCAACCCAGGCACGTGCCCTGACAGGGAATTGAACTGGCAACCCTTTGGTTCGCCAATCAGCACTCAATCCACTGAGCAACATCAGTCAGGGCTAAAATACATATATTTTTATTTAGTTATTTTTCAAGTACAGTTTTGTTTATTTCTCCCATCTCAGCCTACCCTAAAATAGATTTTTAAAATACTTATTTTTCACTTACAATTGACCCACCATTATTATTATTTTAGTTTTAGATGTATAAAAAATCTTTCATTTCTGACAGTTCAAGAGTAAGGAGTGATTGTGTTACTATAGGTAGTCATCTAGTTATTAATAAAAAAAAAAGGAAAGAAAGAAAATAAGACATTGAGCTTAATTTACTAGAAAGCTGAATCAAATAGTAAGCTTAAGCCCTGGTTGGTGTGGCTCAGTTGGTTGGAGTGTCGTCCTGTACACTGAGAGGTTGCAGGTTCAATTCCCATTTAAGGCACATGCCTAGGTTGTGGGTTCTATTCTTTTTGGAGATCCTACAAGAACCAACAAATGTTTCTCTCTCACATTGTTTCTCTTTCCCCCTTCATTTCTTTCTAAAAGCAATTAAGAAATGTCCTCAGGTGACTATTAAAAGAACAAATATTAAATTTACAAAACTGGGAAGCTAAACTAGATATTAGGATAACATTCCATTAAGCCCTCGAGGAAGCTATCTATAAAGAGAATCATTCACACACTCCAGATTACCTTAGGGAAGACAATCTACAGAACACGGAAGAAATCTCCCCTGCAGGACTCCAGCTGGTACTGGTTTATCTCTGGAAGAGGAAGCAGAAAAGTCCTCTGATGGGCAACAGAAGCCAGGTGGCAAACTAGAACTTTTTGAATTGTGCAATAGAAGTTGAGATGGCACAGGGAGAGGTTACCTTTGATCTTGCGCAGCAAGAGTCAAAATGACCCAGGAAAAGGACTGGTTGGGAGGAGGGCCCAACTCAAGTCCCAAAAGAATCAGGAAGGTTGGTTGGATGGTTTGAATGGTACCTTGTTCTTACCAAGAACCAAGTAAATATATGGAGGATTAACAGGAGCTTCCTGGCTATTGTTAGAGCCTGCCCACCCCCTACACCCACAAGCGTATGTTATTTTCCTTTACCTGAATACAATCTTGCCATCACATTTAAACTTTTCCCCAAATGTGCCATTTGAAATTCCTTATTCTGGACACTGCAAAAAAAACACCTTTTCACTGGCAACAATTGGGTGCCAGAACTACTGGTGAAAAATGGCCTTGGACCTCAGAGGCAGTAGGGAATAGTGAATGTACATTAAATCTGTTTCAGCAGCCAAGGTTTGAGCTCTATACACAGGCTCAGATATCAGGGCCTCCAAACTATCAGCCCACAATGCATCTGAACCCCAGGTGCTTACTCCCAGATGCAAGAGGCATTCGATCCATGTTTCTTTCCCCCTCTGTCTCCCTCCCTTCCCTTCTCTCTAAAAATAAATGAAATCTTAAAGAAAAAAAAAGGCCCTGACTAGTGTGGCAGAGTGGATTCAGTGCTGGCCTGTGAAACAAAGGCTTGCTGGTTCAATTCCCAGCCAGGACACATGTCTGGGTTGCAGGGTCTGTAGGAGGCATGCGAGAGGCAACCACACATTGATATTTCTCTCCTTTCTCCCTTCCTTCCCCTCTAATAAAATCTTCAAAAAAAAAAAAAAAAGACTTGTGTGCACTGGCTTCCAGCAGCTAACAAGAAAGTTAAAATTGCAGCGATGTTTACTCCATACAAATTGGGAAAACAGCCCAGTGGGACCACCATCTTACAGGAAGTGTAGCTGCCCCTACATGAACTCACTCTTGAGAATCTGAGCCGAGTTTCTGGCTGAAACTGGCTGGGAGGGGCTTTTGAACAGAGAATGTGGTTTAGAGAAGCTTTGATGGTAGAGGGGTGGCAGCCATGAGTGAGTCATGGGGGAAAGGCCACTAGAAACCAGTGAAAGCTAGGCAAGATGAGGTCCTAATGGGAAGGATGGCTCTTGGTGGAACTTTCCCTGTGGACCCCAGAGGAGACCAGTGGCCTAAAATTTGGGAAATATGACAGTGTACAGGAGAATAAGTCATGTTATAGTACATGTGCCAATTGCTAATAGTGTCTCCAAACTCAAAACCTCAAGAGTTTGGAGTAAGCTTTATTAACTGAGGAGGCACCAACTGAAAAGAAGGGAGATCTAACAGTGGGATTAGTTTAAGCGTTTTTCAGCTGGAAAAGGGGAGTGGGAGGGGGAGTTAGGGTAAGTTCCTATGGTATTCAGCCTCTTGATATCTCAAGGAGCAGCTTCTAGACACCATCTAAGGTCATCTGCATCAAGGGTAGTCTCCAGTCTCTATTATTTTTTGCAAAGTAAGCTTTTAAATTATTGCCCTGTGGCCATTTCTTTTCTATGAGGGACCAGACACATTGCATTAATATGTTCTCTAGTCCTTTAGAAACTGTTGGTTGTCCAGTAGGTCACAAGTTATTGACTCAGAAACTGGTCACAATATTGCTGAGCTCCACAGTTTAAACATTAGGGTAGGTTAATATAGCTAAAGTGTAACTAGTCCTAGTTAGGGGAACAGCAGAGAGTCTAACTTGTGGGGTATGGTTACAATAGTATCAGCAAAGTCAAAGTGTTGTAGGTCATACATATGGACCAACTGAACTTGGCATATATATTGAAAGACTGGAGAGAATGGAAAGGAAATACCTGTGTGTATGATACATAGGTATAGAGAAAGAGAAATTGCCAAACTACTTTCCAGAGTCAACATATTGTGTTCAATTCCCACCATCAATATCAGAGATTCCCTTTCTCTACATACTCCCTAGCAATTATTATTGTGATTTTAAAAGGAATAAGAAAAGATGAACCTAAATTTTTAACAGCTAAATGAATAAACAGTCCACTTATTTTTAAAAATTGTAAATACTCAAAACAATTTTAAATGCCAGTGTTACTAATATTTAAATACATACAAAGTAAACATGAAACAAACTTTAACCCTAAAAATTCATAAAGATTGAATGATGAATATTATTTAGAGTGGCAGGTCATGGAATAATAGCATTCTATTATGCTAACCTCTTTAAGTCTTATTTTTTACATCTATATAGTGTTGTTCACCACATACACCTTTAAATGGAGATATTATCATGCTTGTTATTGAATTCAAAAAGTATGCATTACATTTGGTGTGTTTTTATAGGGGCATGATTGAGTCTAGAGTATGTATATATATGTAAAGTAATAAAAATTTGGGGGGTATACAAGTTGAAATTACCCAGTTTAAACCTTATTCCCTTTGAGCCACCAATCAATTTAAATAACTGATTCTGTAAAATTATCTCTTTGAGAATGAACAGGTACTAGGATATTCATAGCATCAATTTTAATAACTGTAAAAAAATAATCTTGTGATTGCTACATGAACTATTCTAGCACTTCTGTATTCAACTTTTGGGTAACATCCCCCACTGTGACTGACCAATGTGTCCAATGGTATAACAGCAACACAGTGCAACACAGAGAACGGAAGTTGCCTTGCTGAGACATGTTGTTTTTTGGAACTCTTGTAACAACAGAAACCAGGCTATCCTCTTGCAGAATGGCAGCCATCCATTCCAGTGGAGGCTCAGATATGTGAAAAATGCCATCTAGACCATGCAGCCCCAGTTGAGACAGCCCACACCAGGAAATCCAACCCTCAGCGCACTAAGTAAGTAAATAAGTAAGTAAATAAATAAATAAATGAATGTTGTTTTTAGATACTAAGTTTTAGGGATGTGTAGTTTTGTGATGTAGTTTTGTGAAGGTAGCTAATACAGGTATGAATGTATATCAGGTAATTTGTTAAATAAATCATAGGATGTCTCTTCATGAACAATATGCAGACATAAAAAGAATGAGATATAAATTCATATAGCAACTATGGAAGACAGTAACAAAGATTCCTCAAAAAGTTTAAAAACAGGTCTACCATACAACCCAGCAATTCTGGGTAGAGGTGGTCAAAACATACAGATTTCCACTTATAAGATAAATAAGTTAAAAAAACCCATAACAACAAAAAAAGAAATAACAAATTGTTGACCATCATTAGCCATTATGAAAATGCAAGTTAAGCTCAAGATCATATACTACTAGACACCTATTAGAATGATTAATATAAATTATAATGATAATACCAAGTGCTGGGGAGGATGAAGAGCAATTAGAACTCCTATGTGTTGCTAGTAGAATGGCTAAAATAAAATATACTTCTTTATGGCCATACCATCCTGAACCAGCCCTATCTAGTCTGACCTCAGTAGCTAAAATAAAATACACTGAAAATATCAAGTGCTGGGGAGGATGTAGAGCAAGAAGACTTCACACTGCTGGTAAGAATGTAAATAGTACAGCCATCCTGGAGGAAAGCCAGGTAATTTCTTATAAAGTTAAACATAATTGACCATATGTCCCAATAATCACCACCTGCATATTTATTGTAGAGGAATGAAAATTTACATTCATACAAAAACTAGTATGCAAATTTTGTAGTATCACTATTACTTATAACAGCTGAAACTGGGAAAATACAAATCTCTTTCAAGAGTGAATGCCCTTATATGAAATGTTAGAAAGACTTATTTAAGAAAAAGATCAAACTATGAACGAGCAATAAAATGGTGATAAATACATACCTATCAATAACTGAATCTAAAAAACAAACTAAGCAAACAAGAACAGAGACAGAAGCATGGATATGCAGAGGGTTCTGATGTTTGCCTGATGCAAGGGGCTTGTGGAGGAATGGGTGGAGTGAGAGTATTACGAAGTACATACAGTTACAGAACAGCAATGGGGGTGTAAGTACAGTATACAAAATGGAGTAGCCAAAGAACTTATAGACACAACCCATGGACATGAACAATGGTGGGGAATTGCCTGAGGGAGTGGGGGTTGCCGGATGTGGCAGGCAAAGGGCAAAAAATTGGGACAACTGTAATAGCATAATCAATAAAATGTAACACAAAAAAAGTGCATAGGTAAACTGGTTCAACTAGTATATATACTATTCACAAATACAAATAAGACTATTTCAATTCAAATAATTCTTAAAAGCAATTTGTCAACTGACAAAAACATGAAAAACTTACATGGTCCCCATTAAAAATATAAATTTGTATAACTAAATACATTATTTATATAAAATCCAGTTATAAAAATGATTTTTACACCATTCATGAAATGACAAAATTATACCGATGGAAAACAGGCCAAGTAGTTGCTGAGGTAGGTTTGGATACAGGGTTGAACTTAAAAAGGGAAGCATGAGGGAGTCTGTTGTCTGAGCAATTTTCTGTCTTGGTTGCGGTTGTGGTTATATGAATGTATATAATAAGGTAATAAAGCTTAGAATTGCAAACATTAAAAAAAACACAAGTAAAATCTAAAGAAATCCAAATAAGATTAGGAGTTTTGTAACACTATACTACCAAAGTCATTTTCCTGGATTCAATAAAATATGGTTTTATAAGATGTTTTTACTGGGAAATGTTGGGTAAAAGATACTAGGGAAGTCTCTGAATTATTTTGTAAGTTAAGTAAACATTTCACAAAAATAACTTTAAAGGTGGTTTGTAAAATATTTGATCATACTTATAAACTTGGCTAACCAAGTACAAATATGTGTTATAAATCTAAAATACTCAGTTTTCTCTTAAACTATTTCTGTATGATACATTTATAATTAAGATTAGAGTCAAAGAAAAGTAAGAGCTAATCATATAGTGTGAGATGGTCATGGAACACTCCTGTATGGCATATAACAATAAAAATTAATCAGGAATAAGTAAAGCACATGATTTTTTAAAACTATGGAATTACTGACAAGGCAACTACAAAGGAGGCTCCAAGTATCACCTGAAAACACAAATCAGGTGAATTACCTGATGCAAAATAAAGTTAGACTTATTTAAAAAGCACTCAAACAGTATTACTTCTCACAGAACTTCTTTCCTTCGTGAGTTCTCTAATATTTGAATAAAGGTGCTCCAAATTCAGCATTTTCACAAAGTTTTAACTTCTGCATAATTTCCTAACAATAATATAGAACTTATCCATAAAATCCTGTAAAATATATATTATCCTCTTAATGTTTTTCTCCTACATGAACTCTGACTCTAATCAAGGTCTTCTGGCTGGGTAAAGACTTTTGCATGGTTACCTTATTTCTTTGGTTTTTTGTTTGTTTGTTCGATTGTGTTTTCATATTTCTATGAACAATGAACCCACTGATGATCTATGACAATCCCTGTTAATGAAGTCTATCTTCCTACTGAAGACTTTTTTCATCTCTGCATTCACAAAATTTGTCTCAGTATCCACTTTTCAAACATATATTGGAGGCAGACAGTTTTGCTGAGAATTATAATGAAGTTGGAAAAGCATCTTCACATTGCATATATTAGAGTGTTTCCACTGCATTTTCACTGACAGAAGATGTTATTAAGTAAGGATTGCTAAATGCACTACTACAGTTAGCATGTTCACAAGGTTTATATCCTGGGAAAATTCCACAATTTCCTTAGGACATACATCAGACAACAGGCAGTACTGTGTTTGCACTCTGATCTGCTAGAAACACTGACGTTAATGAGGTCTTGGTTGCCACAGAAGGCATTTCCACAAAGATTGCATTAATAAGGGTTTTATTACACGAGTTCACTTGTAAGTAATGCGCTGTGACTCTCCATTAAAAAAATTTCCAACTTGACTGTATCTACTCATTTCTCTTGTGTGCATTTTCTTATGTTTAAGAAGGTTTGACACTTGGGAGAAGGTTTTCTCACAAATGCTGCATCCATAGGGTTTCTCTCCTGTATGAGTTCTTTGATGGACATTGAGCCCTGACCTTCTAGTAAAGGCTTTCCCACATTCCTTGCACTCATAAGGTTTTTCTCCTGTGTGACTTCGCTGATGAATAATGAGAGTGTGCTTTGTGGTAAAACCATTTCCACATTCATCACATACATATGATTTCCCTTCTGTATGAATTCGCTGATGTATAGTGAGCTTGCGCTTCACGGTGAAGCCTTTTCCACACTCACTACATATGTAAGATTTTTCCCCTGCATGAGATCGCTGATGAACAATGAGATTACCCTTCACAGCAAAGCATTTTCCACATTCATCACATAAATAGGGTTTCTCTCCAGTGTGAGTTCGCTCATGTACAACAAGGTAGCGTTTCATGGTGAAACCCTTCCCACACTCACTGCATATATAGGGTTTCTCCCCTGTATGAGTTCGCTGATGCACAATGAGATTACTCTTCACGGTGAAGCCTTTCCCACATTCACTGCACACATAAGGTTTCTCTCCACTATGAGTTCGCTGATGTGCAATTAGATAGCGCTTCACAGTGAAGCCTTTCCCACAGTCACTGCATATATAGGATTTCTCTCCTGAATGGGGAGAGATGTCTGCTGATGTTTGCTGATGTCTGGTGAGACTACCCTTCACAAAAGAGTCCTTTCTGTATTCATTGGTTATATAGAGTTTGTCCTGTGATTGAGTTTTCTGATGTTTAGTGAGCATGACATTTCTGAAGGATTTCCCCCATAGATTACGCCCATGGGTTTTCTGTTCTGTATGAATGCCCTCATGATAAATGAGCCAAGGTTTTCTGATGCAGGCTTTCTCACCTTCAATGCTTGCTTGGGCCTTCTCTATTTTATAAGTCTTCTGATGCTTAACAACATGGAATTCACTGCTGCTGTGTTTTTCACTTTCAGGAATTTCAATTTCAGTGTACAGTTGTTCATGATTACCATGTAGAAAGGATTTCTCATCTGCATTAAACTCAACGGGGTTCTTTAGTTCATATCTTCTCTTCTGATTAATCAGACTTAACCTTGATTTAAAAGCTTTCCTACATAATTCCAGCATATGATTTTGCATTATGGCTACATTTGTTTTGCTCAGATGAATAGTATTTCTAAGTGCATTCTTTTCACTGAATTGTTGCACGCTCTTCCGAAGCCTTTGGATGTGAGAATGCTCTTGCAGGCAACTGTCAACTTTCCTGATTTCTAGGAAAAAAAGAAAAACAAATTTCTTCAGAGAATGTCTTAGAATAAATGCTTAAAATATGATGTGGTGGGAGCTGGCTCTTTATTGTCAACCATACCATTCCATAAAGATGTAAGGTGAAAGACAATCAGATTAAAGAAGAGACAATGAGTATATTTACAGCAAAATACCCACAAGAAAAACAGTTCTCATCTGGGGAGATATATATGTGGAGGGGATATATGGCCATCCTCAGACATCTTCACAGTTGTGACTCCTTCTCTTAATGATTAGAATATGATTTGCATGGCCACGGCCACTTCCTTGCTGGTTCTCACTCACTCACCTGCATGGCTTATATTAGAGATTTCATCCTCTATTATCTGTGGTTCTTCTCCATGTTCCAACTTGGACAGCACATCTGGTTTGGTAGTGTGATACCCTATTCATAAGAAATGACAGAAGAACTAGCTAGTGACTTGGAGTATAGTATGTCAAGATGGGAAAACATTTCATTTTAAAGACAAAACAATTTCTTATATGCAAAGTAAAAGTTGTCTTTCATGACAGGAGATTATAGCTCTTAGTTTGAGGCCAGAAACAGGACTGAAAATATGACTCTTCAGATGACTGCAGTGACTGTAAAGCTTTCAACAAGTAAGAGAGTAAATAAAGTCCACTGATTGGCACCTCTAAGTGACACAGGGAGGTATCCTTACCCAGTGAAACCAGATTGTGATAGTTCTCCAACATTACGACCCGATACAGGTCTTTCTGAGCAGCATCTAGGAGCTGCCACTCCTCCCAACTGAACTCCACGGCCACATCCTCCAATGTCAGCAATTCCTGTAATAACACAGTCCTGTTTAATATGATACCAACTCTATTTATTAATATGGAGTATATGTGAGGAAAGTCATTCTAATTTTTACCACATAGCCTGCATCTATATATCTTTCTCAAATATATTTTAGTAGGATCAAAATTCTATCTTTCTATCTATATAGTTTAGCACCTATTTCCAAATACTAAAAATACTCGTATACAAATAACATCAGGACGAATGATTACCATGAAACTCTGCATCCAGAAATTATAAGACAAGTGTTTTTAGTAAGTGTAAAAAGCAACAGAAATTATACAAGGTATGTCTAAAGCAAAAATGACCATTAAAGCTGATCGGGAAGATTTGAGGGGGAAAAAACCCTTATAATAAGCAAACATACACACATACATGTATTAATAGACAGATGAACAGTATAATATACTGTAGTGAACTGAAATATATAACTGAAGAAGTAACAGAAAATGTAGCTGAGAGAGGAGAAAAACATAAGGAAGAAGTTAATAAATATGAATATAGCATCAAAAGATTTAATATATGCCCACTTATAGTTTCTGAAATAGAAAATAGTAATAGAAAAGCAATATTCAAAGATCTAACTGTGAGAAATTTCAGTAGTGATCAAATACTCCTAACTTCAGATTTAGAAATCCCAACAAATTCCAAGAAGGATATTTATACCTACACACATCAGACCAAAACTACAATATACCAAAGGAAAAGAGAAACTCTAAAAGTATCCAGCCCTGACTGGTGTGGCTCAGTGGATTGAGTGCTGGCTTGCAAACCAAACAATCAATGGTTCGATTTCCAGTCAGGGCACATGCCTGGGTTGAGGGCCAGGTCACCAGCTGGTGGTGTGCAAGAGGCAACTAGTTAATGTTATCTCTCGTACATTGATGTTTCTCTCTCTTTCTCTCTCTGTTCCCATCTCTCTAAAAATAAATAAATAAAATCTTAAAAAAAAAATAAAGTATCTAGAGACAAAGGGCCAATTACCTAAACAGAAACAATAGAACACAGAAAAGAATAAAATATTATCTTCAAAGTTCTGATTTTTCATGCCAAAAAGGCCAGACATGAAGGCCATTTGGTAATGATACCTGTGACTCTTCGTGAAGTGTCAGACAGCCTAATCTCTTGCCAGCCACCACGTGTGACAGCCCTTGAGTACTGTCCACTAAGGAAGCTCACCTACACTTCTGCATCCAGAGTTGTTATTGAGGCTTCATTACACATGCATGATTTACTGAATAACTGACCATGTGGCTGGACTCAATCTCCAGGTCCTTCCCCTTTCTAAAGTTCAGACTGATATCAAATGGCTCACAGTTACAACCTTCTAATCACATGGCTGGCTTCTGGTAAAACACCGTCCATCTTGAGTCACCTCTTTAGCACAGACTATAAAGACTGTAAAGTGTGATGTCAGTGGCCCAGAATGAATAACTCCTATTACACAGGTAATTCCAGGGATTTAGAGGTAACTTCCCCAAAATCAGAGACAAAAGTCAGGCAAATTCCTTGTTATACACTAAGATATTCATGCCCCTGTATAATGCCTTACACTTGAGCATGGACTGGCCTAGTAAATTGTTTCTAAAGCAAAGAATACAGCAAAAGTGACTGAGTGCCACTTTTACAATTAGGCTATAAATACATCCATCTTGCTACAAGAATCCATTCTTTGGTGACTTTGATGAAACGAGGTGGCATGTTGGTTTACATAAGCAGACAGGGAGAAACTGAGGATCTCATTTGACTAGCCCTTCTGAGAATGAATTCTGCCAACAACCATATAAATAAAATACAAGTGCATCCTTCCCCACTTGAGGCTTCAGATCGAACTCCATTCTGGCTTACAGCCTCCTAAGAGACTAAAAACAAAGTGCACAACAGTGGTAATGATTTAAAAAAAATACAGCTGATTTTTATTCAGTTGATCTTTGTTCAGTTGATCTTTATTCTTGTGTCTCTGGTTCCTGGAACACATCAGGTAGGTTCTAAATGCTTAGAGTCCCCAGAGTAATAAGTAGTTTTTGTATGCTAATGAGATGACTCCAGGGGACAGGGGTTGCTTTGCTTCTGGAAGAGGACTGGTTGCCAGAGGAACAAAACATTGATTAAAGGGTTGGAACATTCAGCTCCACCCACAAAACCAACACAGGATAGAGGAGCTGAATACGGAATTCAAACCTAATGGCCAATGAATGATTTTATCAACCATACCCAACAAATGAGATCTCCGTAAAACCTCCAAAACTATAGGTTTGGTAACCTGGCTCTCTGCATCTCTTTCATTTCACTGTTTGAGTTGTAACCTTTATAATAAACCTACTGTAAACATAAGCAAAATACTTTCCTGAATTCTGTGAGTTGTTCTAGCAAATTACCAAACCTGAGGAAGGACTTGTAGAAACCCCTGATTTATAATAGGTCAGTTGGAAGTACAGGAGGCCCAAGAATTGTAAATGACATCTGAAATTCAGGGCATTTTTGCAAGTATGAACCCTTAAATTTGTGTAATCTGACAAACTACTACGTGTCAGAGAGCTAGCTGGAGAAGTGGTATTAGAAAAGACCCCACTTATTTGGAGTCAGAAAGAACCAACACCATTTGGTGTCAGAAGTATTTGGGGCAAAAACAACACAAATCAGCTAAACCATGGCAGTATTAAGTGACCCACAAAGAGTGTGAGATAAAAAACATATTTGAAGTTGCTAAGTTTAGAGTAATTTGCTAGGCACCTCTCTGGTAAAAACTTCTGTTTTCCTTTACACACACACAGAATAGTTCTGTGACCAGATGTGTGAGTTTTCCACACCAAGAAATTCTGGCACAAACTGCTTGGAGTTATTGCAGATGCCGCAGGCTTGGTTCCATGAGACTGCTCACACTTCAGAAACCAGCCATTAAGTAGTGGGCCTCCAGGTAACCCAACTGTCTGAGTTGACTACAAATTGGAGGTTCCCATAACCTTTTCCTTGGGTTCTATCATTTGCTATCACAGCTCACAGAACTCAGAAACATTAGATGCAAAATGACAGCTAATGTGACCCACAGAATCAACCACACCACACATTATGTTTCAATATGTATGACCCGTAGGAACAATGTTTTCTTGATCTCACTTTGCCCTGATTTTGAATTTAGAGTGTAAGTTAATTTTCCCAAGAATCCAAATATCGCAATTTATACTCTTTTTAGTTGAACTAACGTTTTTTCAGGGCACCAAAAACCTGTACAAAAATAAAGGAAAAGTAAAACAAAAAAAAAAAATTACCTTGACTTCCATCATTTTCTTCTGTGCTCAGGGAATATTGAGTAACATGAATTCTCTGACTTTTGTCTCTTCTGCATCTGCCATGAAGTTCTTAGAGGCAGAAATCTAGGTGTCCAGTTAAAGTTGTCCCCAGAAACGATGATATCCAAGTTGAGGGACCCTCCCTTTCTTCCCTTTCCTTCACTTGGTGTTTCTTGCTCCTGGGGAGCCAGGACCTGTGGGCTGAGGAGCAAATTGACTTTGAGTGGACATTCCCTCTGGATACAGATGTTGTCACTATTACTATATAATTACCTTGAATAAAGGACCCCAATATCTCCAACAGTTTTTATAAATTTAGTGCCCCAGATGCTTTTACCCTCTAGGACAATGTCCATAGTTAGACACGTGTCAGTTTGGTAGGTTCTTACAAAGTTAAACACACTGTTATATGATCCAACAACTACATTCCTTGGTATTTACTGAAATGAGTTGAAAACTCATGTCTACACATAAATCTGATTATAGACTTTGTTATTTTAATCATAGATTTTTATAGCAGCTTCAAACAAAGAAATATTATGCAGCACTCAAAAGAAATGAGTTATCAAGCAACGAATATACAAGGGGAAACTTTAAGTGCATATTATTAAGTGTAAGAAGCCAATATCAAAAGGCTACAGACTACACAATTATATGATTCCAACTATATGACATTCTAGAAAATGCAAAACTAAGGAGATAGTAAAAAACTATCAGTGGCTGGCAAGAGTTGTAGGGAGGAGAAAGATGAATGGGCAGGACCCAGAACAGTAAAGCTTTTTAGAGCAATAAAGCTTTTCCTCATGATACTAAAGAGTGGACACATATGATCATACATTTGTCAAAAAACATGGATTGTACAACACCAAGAGCTAATAACCCTAATGCAAATGAATGCACTTTGGGTGATAATATACAACACCAAGAGCTAATAACCCTAATGCAAATTAATGCACTTTGGGTGATAATGTGCCAACATGTTAAACTGATTGTAACACATGTACCATTCTGGTGCAGGATGTTGACAGTGGGGATAGTTGTGCATGTGGAGAAAAAGGGATCTTAACGTACTTCACACTCAATGTAACTGTGAAATTACATCATTCTAAAATCTAGTCATATCTGTAGCTACACACACATACAATTCTTGCCGAAAACAGACATAGGAAACATTTCTCAAGACCTTGGGTTAGGCAGAGCATTCTTAGACCTATCACCTTTATTTTTTAGAATAAAGGAAGAAAACTAATAAACTGGACTAATATTAAATTTTGTACATCAAAAGACATTATCAAGCAAAAAAATGGTGAGCTACAGATGAAAATATTTGCAAATCATAATCTGATAGAGGACTTCTATTCAAAATATATAAATAACTCCAAAAACAATTTAGGAAAACAAACAACCGGTGACTTCCGCCAAGATGGAGGCGTAGGTGGAAGCACTGTGCCTCCTCCCACAACCAAGTTTAAGAACAACAAAGTTGTAGCAACAAAAATGCAGCCAAACCACAGAAAACTGAGAACAACGGAAGTTTGACAACAACGAACCCTTCAGCCAAACCAGTAAGAGGGGCAGAGCCAGCAGCAGAGTGGGGTCAGGCAGGAAAGATCCACTGGACCTACCTGGGTGCGCGACCCAGGTGCACCACCCAGGTGTGCCAGCAGCTGTAGGCGGATCCCAGGTGTGGAGAAGTG